ACAAATTAACCAGAAAGGCAGCGTGGTAAAGTAGATACAGAAACAATTCCCCAAGCTAGGAAGATGTAGGTTCAGGACTAGCTCCTAATACATACTGACCCTGAGCAAGTCACTGGTTAACCTCTCAGTGCTCTAGGCAACTGCGTCAAACGATCAATTGCAGAGAAAGTGGCAGACGACATTGCTGCAAAGAATCCCCTTGTTTGGTAGTTCCCTTCACCAGTGAGATCACTGGTACAGTTCCAATCTCTACTCATATGATGATTAGTACGCTCCTGGAATAAGAGTAAGAGCTCAAAAGGTATTTTTTTCCACACTGAACTGAAATGAGAATAAAAATAAATTCAGTAAGATAGCTGAAAATTTGAGAAAATGGTATATACAAACATCAAAACCTTCTTTGTGGTCTTTGAGTAAATTTTTACAAGCAAAGTAGAATTAAACATGATTGAGTCCTCCACTTCCAGTCCTTAAAGTTGTCATGGAGAAGATTAAACATATTCTGCCCGACCCTAGAGAACAGAACTTGAACTAACAGGTAGGATGTAGGGAGATGCAGATTCAGCCTGACGTAAAAAAAAAAAAAACTTCCCCAAAATGAGAGCTGTCCAAACACATAATGGGCTGCTCTGGGATATGGTTTGCTCCTTTTACTTTGAGGACTCCAAGCACAGACTTGCTGGGAATGTTATAAAAGGAATTCCTATGAGGAAACCAGTTGGCCTCAATGGCCTCTGAGCAACCTTCCACAGCTCTGAGATTTTGTGATTCCACACATGGCTCCTTCAAATATTTGAGGAAAATGATCACGTTTTCCTAAGGCTTTTCTTCTCCCAGCTAAACAGTCTGAATTCCTTCAATTGATCTTTGTGTTACAAAATTCTGAATAGCTGTATTTTGAATACCCTGGTCATCTTCCTCTGGACAACACAGCAAGATCCTTCCTAAGAGGTATGCAGAACTAGATATGTGAATATTACACATTTGGTCTGACCAGGACAGAGTGCAACAGAAATATCACTTCCAAGAATATGGTCAAAATCCTTTTTTTAATGCAGGCAAGATCCCATCAGTTTTATTGGGGGCCATTTAAAACTACTGCTAATTTCCAATGCTTGATATCTATTTGGTATAATTTAAAGTAATTCATTTTTATTCTATTTTGGAAATGGGGATGTACTGGTAATCATCTCTATAAACTATGTCCTTCTACACCCTTCTATATCCAAAGTGGGTCCTCATTCTTCTTTTCTCTAGGCTACAGAAGGTCAGAGAATCATACAGGACTGGAGCTGTAAGGGACTTTGTTTAAAATCTAGCCCAATTCCTTCATTTCATAAACAAGGATAAGGTTAAGAAACACGATGTGATTTACTCAGAGTAACACTGCTAATTTGTGGCAGAGCCAAGATTAAAGAGTCCAGGTCCTTCTCACTTGAATCCTGACACTGAAGCATATTGACAGGACTAATGTGATACAGTAGAAAATGTACTGAATTTGGAATTCAAGGACTTTCAGTTACAATCTTACTTCTTCCACTCACTAGCTGAATGATCTTGGGCAAATCCCTTCTAATCCATGGGCCTCACTTTTCTCATTTCTGTAAAATGAGAAGATTATGATGGATGACATCTTAGATCTCTAATGGCTCTATAACTATAATCCTAAGGGTTCTGAAACAATGTCCTTTCCATTATATTATGCTAATTTTAAAGCTTTAATCTTTTCTCCATAGATCTTATTTCCCAAACTTTTATACATTTAGCTTGCTTTCTGCCAGATCATATACTCAGTAAATCAATTATTCAACTTTATCTAAATAAATTTGTCAAATATCATTTATCAAAATAAGTTACTTGGTAATTTAATAATATAATTTAACAACACAACAGGTACATAACTGTATATGTTATTTTGTAATATATGTTTTGTCTCCCTCGACAGGAAGTAAGATCTTTAAGGGCAGGTGTTGTTTAATTTATAACTTTTATTCCCAGTGCCTAACACAGTGCTTTACACATAGTAGATGTTTTACCTAATGAATACTTGGTGACTGATACGTGTCAACCTTTTATAAAAGTTTCATGGAAAACATCAATAGGTGGAATACTGATCACTTCAGAAAGAAAGTGCTCATTAAGAGGAAGGTACATCTTCAATGGAATATAGAAATGGAAGAATTTTTCCCACTAATGGATATCAGCAATCAATTTAAATTATAAATAAAGGACTAGACTTCATAAAAGATGATTAATATCAACGTAGTCTACGCCAAAGAAAGCTATATAAAAATGGAAACTTTTAAAAATAATTTTAAATTTTAAATATATTCTAGATAGGACTCTAAAAGAACATTATTGTTCTTACTTCTCTGTCATTTCGACATTCCCATTACCTGCAGAACTGGAAAATGCTTCTCTTTGTACACAATTTTAAAAATCACTAGTTTTCCCTTTTTAAAAGGGAAGAGGAAGGAAAAGAAGAGAAAAGGAAGCAGAGAGGGTGAGGAAGAAAAAAAGGGTAAGGGGGAGAAAACATGATGGGAGAGCATGAAATGAAAGGGAAGGAAGAAGAAGAGGAAGAGAAGATGAAGCCCTTGGCATAAAACTTGCCTACACGTTCCATACAGTTTATTAATGAGAAAACTTCCATTAAAAAGAAAAGTAAGCAGTGAAGGGAATGGGAAGAAATTCCAATTTCCAGATAATCTGACCTTCAGTTTATATTATATAACAACTGAAAATCACTAAGCACAACCAAATGCCCTGGCCCTTGAGGTAAAACACATTATCTTTATAAACAGGAAAAAGGCAAATTCCCTAGCACATTTAAGAACCACAACTGAATTACAATAACATTGACCATCTGGGTATAACAGATTATAGAATACTGTAACAATGAACTAAATTCAAGAATATACAGCTGAAAAATGCTTATCATATAAATCTAAAGTTAAAGCAAAGGTTTCTTGCAAATTGCAAAACATCTGAAATTGTGAAACTTAAACTTTGTTAAATAGACAAGAGCTTCCCTAATCCTTTTTTAAGATCTCAGCATCAGTTTGATGAAAATGCTTATATGTAAAAGTCTATTTCAAAATATGAAACTATATCACACAGTACAAATAAAGACATGAAGCCAATCTTCGCCTAACATTATGCAACAGCACTCTTTTTCATAGCACAAACATGAAATAGATGGTAGGAACATAAGACTATAAAAAGGACTTGCTTCACCTATAACTCCTAAAGAGATGAATGTGCATGCCATTACTAAGGAGAGAGTGAAGCTTCAATAAGGAGGACAGGAAGAGAATTTATGATTTCACTGGTTTATGGAACTCCACAGACTCTACAAAAGCAAACCAGCACCCTCTCTGTAACTTAATCTTGGAGCATTACTTCTTGCCTAGCCTACTACAAAAGTCTTCTAACTAGTCTCCTTTTCTCAAGTGTCTGCACACTCCTGATTTCTTCCCACTTCCTTGATTCTCCCAACTACACCATCATGCCTCAGCTGCCTCACTGCGCCTCTGGACTCCTCTCCCTTTGTAAAGCCTTCATTTGACCAGGTTGGGGGGTTGGGGGAAGAAGGAGAGCACTCCAAATCAGTTCTGCTTCATTCTCTAAACTTAGCAACCCCCAGATACCTCCTCCCCACCAACTTCAGTTCCCCACTTATGTGCTGTCTCCCCCATTACAATGTAAGCGCCTTGAGGGCAGGGACGGGTTTTCTTTTTGCCTGTACCTGTATCATCACTGAGCACAGTGTCCAACACATAGTAATCTGGGTTTAATACAGCGCCTGGCACAAAATAAACATTCAATAAATGCTTGTTGACTGCCTGGCTCCAATTCATTCTCCATCTTGATGCCAAGGTGATTTTTTTCTGCAGTACCTCCCTATAACCTTCCAGAACAAATACAAACTGCTCTGCTTGGCATTTAGTAACTTGGCCCCATCCTACTCTTCCAGCCTTCCTTCATGAACCCCAAGATCCAGCTACATTGGTCCACGTGCCATTCCTTGAATATGACACTTCCTCTCTCAATTCCAGGACTTTTCACTAGCTGTTATCCACGCTTGGATACTTCTCATCTCCATCTCTTAGCTCCTCTGACATTTTTCAAGACTCAGCTCAAACCCCACCTAGTGCAGGATACCATTCTAGGTTCCGTCTCCCCACTCACCACATACACACACACACACACACACACACACACACAAGTTCCTTCTGAGATAACCTTCCACTTACTCTGAATATAGCTCTCTCAGTATAGCTATTTGTATATTTTCTTATCCACCTGAATATAAGTTCTTTGAGGGCAGAGACTGTTTTTCACCTTTCTTTGTATCTCCAGTGCTCAGCACAATGCCAAACGGGTGGGGATCTGTGGCCTTGAGGCCACATGTGGCCCTCTAGGTCCTCAAGTGCAGCCTTTTGACTGAGTCCAAACTTCACATGTGTTCACAGAACAAATTCTCTCAATAAAAGGTTGTTCTGTGAAGTTTGGATTCAGTCAAAGGGCCGTACTTCAGGACCTAGAGGGCCACATGTGGCCTCAAAGCCACAAGTTCCTCACCCTGGCCTAGAAGATAGTAAGTACTGTTAGCTATTAATAAATGTTCATTGACAGACACTGTAAAAATGCAAATATAAAAGAGAGAGAGTGCTATTTTCATGAATGGAAAAAAAAAGCAAGCTGAGAAATTTTCTGAAATCTTCTTAACATTCTTAAGAAGTCATTGGCTTTTTAGATATCAACCAACTGATCTCAAACAAAAGGAAAAAGAGACCCAAAAATACAGCAGAACTAGTTCAAAAGGCAGCAGTAAATTGAGTAAGTGGTCTCATAAAATCAGAGATCTGCAAAAATTCTGTCAACTGAGAATTCCGATAAAATAATATATTCCCTTGATTATAAATCTGAATATAAGTATCTATCAGTGTCCAGTTTTGTACTGGGAAATTCATAAAACAGCTTTTCAAAATACTTACATTGCTTCTTCACATCTCTCAGCTGTTTGCGAAACTGCACAAGTCTATCATCTTTTTTCAAGTCTTCTTCTGTGTTGCTACTTTTCAAAGCCACTAATTTCTCTTCAACTAATGCTTTTAGATTTGGTGTTAGATTGAGGTAATTTTTATCTTTTACCTGAAAAAAAAAAGAATAAGACACATTTTGATAGCTAACTAGTACTAAAAGACTTTATGGAAACTGAGTCCATCTGCCCAAAATTTAAAAAAAACAACTGCTCCAGTCTTGAGGCTTTTTGAGTTCACTGTTTTCTTACAGTTTCCATAAATATCTACCTGGTCAATCAGTCAATAAATATTTGAGAGACTACTACGAGCCAGATACTGTGCCAAGCTCATTAGGGATACGAAGAAAGGTAAAAGATAGTTTTAAAAGACCATTCCTGCTCTTGAGGAACTCATAGTCTAATATGAGAGACAACATGGAAATTGCTATGCACAAACAAGCTATGCATACACAATAATGGAAATAATCACCACAGGAAAAGCATTAGAAATAATGTAGAAGGTAGGACTTCTAGTTAGGAGTTGAAGGAAGCCAGAAAGCAGAGATGAAGAGAGAATTCTAGGCATGGAGGACAGACAGTGAAAGTGCTTTGAAGTTGGGAGATAGTATCTTGTACAAACTGCAGGGAGGCCTGTGTCACTGAATTGCAGCATATGTGGAGATTTGGGAAGGGAAAGTGTAAGAAGATTGGAAAGAAGGGGAAGGGCAGGTTATGAAAGGACTTGAATACCAAATGAAGATTTTATATTTGATCTTGGAGGTGATGGGAAGTCACTGGAATTTATGGGGGGGGTTAGGGTAGGGTGTGTGAGATGGTCTGACCATGCTTTAGGACAACGACTTTGACAGCTGAGTGGGGGATATTCTGGAGTGGGGAAAGGTTTGTTACAGCAGGCTACTGCAATAGTCTAGACTTGAAGTGATTAGGAACTACATTAGAGTGTTAAGAGAAGAAAATGGAATATACTCCATAGATTCTGCAAAAGTGAAATTAATAAGGCTTGGCAACAGATTGGCTATGGGGGGGGATGAAGAGGGGATGAAAAATGGTGAGGAGGAGAGGATGATACCTATGTTGCAAGACTAGGGGACTAGGAGGATAGAGATACCCTTAACAGTAATATGGATGTTTAGAAGTGGGGGAAGGCTTGGGTGGGGGGGAGAAATATAATGAGTTGTTTTGGATATATTGTGTTTAAGATATCTATAGAACATTCAGCTGGAGATATTTAAATGGCAACTGGAGATGCAAGGCTGAAAGTGAGGAAAAAGGCTAGGGCTGAATTAGTCAATAAGAGAATGATCAGCATAAAGATGAGAACTGAATCCGTGGCAGCTGATGAGATCACCAAGTAAAATAGTATAGAGGGAGAAGAGAAGAAAAGTGCAGGATGGAGCCCTGTGGGACACCCATGATTTGTGGGTATGACTTGGATAAAGATCCAATGAAGGAGACTTAAGGAGAACTAGTAAAAGAGTGGTGTCATTAAAACTTGGAGAAAAAAAGTATCACAGAGGAAAAGCGTGATCAACATATCAAAGTCTCCAGAAATCAAGAACGATGAGGATTGAGAAATGGCCATTAGATTTTACAATTAAGAGATCACTGGCAACTTTGGAGAGCGGAGTTTTGGCTGAATGATGAAGCGGGAAACCAGACTGTAGAGAGTTAACAACAGAGCGAGAGGAAAGGAAGCTGAGGTCCCTACTGCAGATGGCCTCCTGAAAGATTTTAGCCACAAAAGGCTACAGACACAAGGATGATAGCTGATGGGAATGGATGGTGATGAATATTTTTTTGAGGCTGGGAGAGACATAAGCAAGTTCATAGGCAGTTGTAAAGTAGCCAGCAGATGAGGAGAGATTGCAGATAAACGAAAGAGTAGGGATGATAGAAGGAACAATCTGTTGAAGAAGGCAAAATGGAATGGGATCTCTTGAGGACCTAGAGGGCCACAAGTGGCCTTGAAGCCACAAGGGTTTATCTTTGTAACGTCATTATGCAAGGCAGTGGATGAAGGCATAAACAGAGGCAAAAGGCAACTGGGATATGTGAGTTGAGGAGGAGGGAAGCAGAGGAAGCTCTTGGTGAATGGCCTCAATTTTTTCATGAGGCAAGATTCTCAGCTGAGAAGGTAACAAAAAGAGCTATAGAAAGTTTAAGGAGGGGTAAAAAGATTTGGAAAGGCTACTGTGATGCGTGGGATAGTGAGTCAGTTAGGGGAGTGGAAAAGGACTGTCTTGCCACAGAGAAGGGCCTGGTTGAGATAACACACATTGGCAATGGATCCAGTCAGCAAGGCTTTGTGACTTTCTCCAGCTTCATTCAGCAGCACATGAGTAGAAGCAAAGGCAGCAGATGGTAGAAATTATCCCAGGCTGAGGCTTGGCAGGTTTAAGACTGGAAACAGAATAAGGAAACAAGGGAGTCAAAGGAAGAAGACAGCTGAGCTGGTTCACTAAGGTGTGAAGGTTAGGAAGGAAAAAGAGTATAGCCAGTGTAGGGGAGATGGCCTGGGAAAACACTAAGAGTCAAAAGACTGGTAATCAATGTGAGGGTGAAGAATAGGGTTTGGGGTTGCAAGGCATAGAGCAAGGTGGCATGACAACAAATAAAGAAATTTCAGAGCTCATAAACACTGAAGTGAGCATTTATGGGGATGTTAAGATGAAGAGTATGACCCTTTTCACAGGTCACTAAGGTTCCTTTGGTATGTCAAGGTAAACAAGAAAGGTAAAGAAGCAGAAGGTAAGGGCATTTGATGGAGAATCAATATGTATGTTGAAGTCCCTTAATATGAGGGCAAGAGTTATTGTGAGCCATGGACTGAACTTGAGAAAAGAAGGGGAATGTTCCAGAAGGTAGCAGATGACAGCTACCAGAATTTTGAGTAGATGGTAGATATGGATTGAATGAACCTCAGAGGAAGAGAAGTTACTGACTGATAGAGGGAGAAAGAGCCTGGAAGTGGCAATAAGGAGCAAGAAGTATTCCAAATCACCCCCTTGGGGCCAAGTTGGGAGGAAGGAGTGAAAGTATGACCAGTGCTGGAAAGGGTGGCCAAGGAGGCTATGTCATGGGGGGGGGAGGGTGTTCAGGTTTCAGTGAGAGTCAAAAGGTAAAAACAGTAGGAAAGATAAGCATTTAAGATGAAAGCAACTTTATTACCTACTGAAAGCATATTCCAGAGATCACATTGGATGGGGTGGATAGCTTTAGAGTGTATCATCTTAAGGGGATATTGGAACAGCAAGTGGGTAGTGAAGGTAACAAGAGGTTTGTGAAATGATAGCCAGGGGTTTAGGATAAATAGGATGGAGAGGGTATGACTAGATGGGAGTTTATTAATCATTGCTAAATGAGTTCAGGAAGGTTATTAACATCATTAGGGAGGGACAGCTAGGCAGCACACAGATAGAGCACAGGTCTTGGAGTCAGGAGGACCTGAGTTCAAATCCAGCCTCAGACACTTGACACTTACTAGCTGTGTGATGCTGGGCAAGTCACTTAACCCCACTGCCCAGCAAAAAATAAAAACATAACAAAAAAAACCAAAACAAAAAAAAACATCAATAGGGGCTCAGTGATGAGAAGTAATGAAAGTATTTCTCTCCTGTGCCTGACGGCAGGTCAGGTGTCTCCCTGGCTTCTACAGGCAGGAACGGGCCCTTGCAAGGGGGAAGAGGCCAACCTAGGGGACCAGCACTCAATAGAATGATGTCTCTCTGATCTCAGGCAGGCAGGAAGGGTCTCCTACAAACGGGAAGACTAAAGCCCAGGAGATCACGCACAATAGAATGGTATCTCTCTGATCCCTTGCTATTAGAAAGTCCCACTGTTGTTTCTCTTAGGTTGTATTACATCTTTATTCCTTCTGGTGCTCTTTTAAAAAATTCTTGCTGGGGCATTTTTTAGGGAAGCTGAGTTTGGCTAGAATCTTTCATGTTACCATCCTTGTCAGAAGGCTCTAACTTAAATTCTTAATACTGTGATTTTAAATCTGTTTCCTCAGTAGAGAGCAATTAGTTACCATATAAAGAAATTTTTCTTCTACTTTAAGGGTCATTATTAAATCCATATCAGTTTTCTTTTTCATACTAAGCAATACCAATTTCTCCATGAATCAATAATCACTCAACAAATATTTATTAAGCAGCTACTATGTTCCAGCCCTGTGCTAAATGCTGGGCCATCTTCCAGGGCTTATCTTGTAAACCCTTTATCCCCAAAAAGGCTTTTTGCTAAATCTGTATTTTCCATAGCCCTGTTTGATGGAAGACTCTAGAAGCAGACTTACCTATATGGTTAGAGGCTGATCGATGTTAATACAATAAGAAGATTGTCAGTTTTTATATTACATGCTATTGATTGCCTACTGCCTTTCTACTATAATTTCTACTTTTTATATAATTAAGATGTAATATAGTTCTTTTTCATAAAAAATAGTCAAAGCAGATGAATAATACATTCTTTCCATTCCACCCAAGTAGGAAATCAGACTGAGAAATCCTAAATAAATTGCCCAAGGTCACCAACAAGAATATTGTCATCTATATCATCTTAATGAGTCAGTTACAGCCTTTCTAGGCCTCAGTTTCTTTATGTCTAAAATGAGGAAGTTCAATAAGATATTTTTAAGGCACTCCTAATGTTCTATGATTTGGCATCTTTGGTCTATTCTTTTGTTTTTTTGGTGCTTTTCCTCCTTTTAATAATTTTCCAACCTACTACTGCCATTAGTCCACTCTCCAAATCCGACCTCCAGAGATCAAACCTAGGAGGAGCTAAGGCTTAGCCGCTAAGCCATCTGGGCTCTCAACTGCCTGGGAATAGTAAGCCCTCATTTTCATCCTAGCCACTTTCCACCTAGTTTTTTCTGCCACTTGAATTCAGGGCCTCTTCACTCCCCAGTGCTTTCCATTTCTGGCTCTGAGACTGTACTAAAATCACACTTCCATAAACATCATTTCCCTATGGTTGTCCACTCCCCCATCAGAATGGAGGTTTACTGAGTGCAGGAGATGTTTCATATTTGTATTTGTATCCCCAGTATTTAGCACAGTAGCTGACATGTAGTAAATGCTTAATAAATGTTTTTATTCACTTTAAA